CAAAATATCTGACCCGAATCTGCTTAGCAAGGAAGCGCGCCCATAGCATACTAACAGAATAATTAAAAATCCACTGGTCGTCGTACGCGAGACACTTATCCATTAATACATATATTATTATATATACTTATCATACTATACTTACGCACATTATTATTTTTAGCCGATAACAATTAGCGACATTTTACGATGTACTTACGGTGACTGCTATAGGAGGTACGTGCCGGACGATGTAAAGAATGCGTTATTCTTTTATTATTCTTTCGGGTTGTTAATATAATAATATATTATTATTTATAAGCCAGGCGCCCGCCTGTGATACACCGTGGATGCGTACGTGCGCAAAAAATATCCTAACGTGACATTTTTTAATTAACTCGGCGTATAATAATTTAAGTATAGTATTTGGTGGGTATTCTTCTTTTTATATTATATATACATCGCTGTTGTATAGCTAATAAAATGTATTAATAATATACGTAGACGACGAAAAAAACGACTATGCGTGAGGGTAATGCCTAAAAAATTAAACATTTTCGGAGGTAAGAAATCACACCTCTTCGTCGGACGAGCCATTCTGTACAAAACTGCTTATAAACATTTGAAAGAAATGATGCAGTTCCGGCCGCACGAATACTTGAATCGCGAACACATTACTACGCTTCGAGTACCTATCTAATACTATACTAATATTAACACTCAAAAACACATCACTCCGATGCCATTTAAAACTATAAAATTATCATTCGAGTGAACCAAACAAGTGCTTTTTTATTTTATATCATAAACACGTTGTCAAATCCTCGCTAGCCGTTACTAACTCTTATCAGTTATTCGTAACTACTTATATTGTTAAATATCGTATATGCATACGAATTTCGAGATGTATCATGTATGTATATTGTATACAGGTATTAAATGGATTTAGGAATTAAATAAATTTGGCTGACGAGAAAACGACGTCAGACAATCGAAAGAAAAAGAACATTTTTTTACCAAATGATAATGGATTTCCCCTTCACCTCTCCAATATAAAACTTGCCGATTGCATTGTATATTATGTATGCTGGGAAAATTCTTCAAATATAATCAAAACATACGTCTTGGGGATTCCGATAAATCACTCCATTGTTTACATGCACTAGGTTATTGTTTTATTATTATTATTAATGTTAGTGTTTATAAGTTTTGTGTATACTTTTTTTTCTTATATATAATATACTTATTAAAACAATAGTCAAAAAACTCATACTGGGGCAAATGTTTAGTCTTCCCTCACGGTGAACGGGGTCGAAGTGTACAGCAGTGGCATCGGTGGCGCTTTGAGGGTGCAAGAATATGGGGATTCGTTTATAGCCTTATAGGTACACGTGTTTTCTATACACTATATATATATTAGATGCATACAAAAACGAATGTATATCATTTTTTTCAGAAAAACGCAGGAATGACACAAAAAACACACCCCCCAGTCGAATGAGTGACAAGCGTGTCTTTTTTTTCTTGCTCCCCACCCGTGTCTGTTTACACTTGCTCGATTTCAATTCATACAACGTTCGCGCTGGTTGTAAGGATGACATGTAAACGATAGTTTGTGGTAAAATAATAGTGTATGTGTATTACACCCTGCAGCCGCTTGTGTGCACATTTATAATATAATGAACATAATGTACAATGTATAATGTATATTTGCGTATAATATAATTCAAATTTATAATATACATAATATATGATTCTAAAATATATTCATGCCGAACCTAACTAAAGGATAGTTAAATTGTATTGGCTTTGCATAAAGAACACCCAATATTTTTTTTTTCATTTATGAGAATGATCTAATTAGTAATTTTAAAAATAAGTGTAATAATACTGTAAACATGTTTTTTATACTTGCAAAGGGTTGTGAAATAATATTTCAGAACGATTTTTATTTTGTATTTTTGGCTGACGATAACGTGTTTTACTACGTAACAGCGAAAACATAAAATCTAAAAATATTATACTATCGAACATTCGAACATATTTCCATTCTCGAGATTCTTGAATTTTATATACGCCATAGGTACATAAAAAAATAAAAAAAATACACGACTTTTGTAGAAGTATTTGTTAAACAAATTCACTGCGTGTTTTGTTATTATAATTTAAATTATAAGAGTTTTATTTTTTTGTTTGTTTGCCACAAACCATGAGATCTCACGACGTTGCGTACGTATAATTATTATCAGTAAACATACTTTTGCGAAAGATCGTGACATAAAATTTTAGATTCTTCAACAACAAAATGTACTATAGTGAAAAAAAAATTATTAAAACTATATATACCTACTAATGACTAAAATATAATAAGTATTTTATGATTTTACCGTATTTAAAATAATGCTACACACTGTGAAATGTTGATACTTGTGCGGTTTTGCATAATTATATAATTAAGAGTAGAAACAAATAAACCTATATAGGCTATGCAGTGTTTACGGTTGTTTCTAAATCGTATCATACCATAGAATCGGACTATTCGTACTATTGTATACATCATTAATCCTTATTGTACATCATTATATAATATTAAATATAAATCAAACATATTCCACTATTCTCCATAGTTACAATATAGCTATAGCCGTAGCTATATTATGTATACGCGCGAGAGTACAGTAATCAATGATCGTTTAAGACTAATTCGCTAGCGGAATTAACGAGTGAATGTTTTTTTTTGAAATTGTAATGATTTATGTTATATATATATATGATCTAGTTAGACCGGGTTTTGATTTGAATAAAATCGGTTTAACCTCAATCACATGGGACCTTAGGGCAAACAGTAAATCGTCCGAAAGCGGTTCATTAAAACGAGCTATTGTGTTTGATTGCTAAATTGTCGAGTCCCGCATATGCGCGTTAAACTCTTTATTAATACATACTTTTTTCATCGTCTACAAATTCTTTCTTTTTTTCCCTCACAGTTACCGTTTTCATCTTTTATTATTATTATTATTTTAATTTTTTTTTTCGAGTATTTATTCCCATTCGTCTGCGGAACGGGTTAAGAGGAAACGACGTCGGACAAACAGCAATTGGTCTTTATTGCTCTAAACTGGTTCTGTTAATAAATTTAGATTGATACAAATGCCGTATTATGGGCTAATGTACACATATTATGTACTACTACTACAACTTCTACACTGACGACGATAACGACGACGGCGATGACGACGGCGGTGGCGAGGGCCTACAAGAAATGTGAGCAATTGATGCGTTCTTTACATACCGACGCCACCGCCGTTACCGGTGTTAGCCAAGAAAATAAAACAGTATCAAAATATTCGTAAAAAATAAATTAAAATAAAACATTGTGTACAGTAAGCATTCGTATTAATGTAGAGAAAAGGTTTTTGAAGAAGTGCGAAACAAACTTGGACGCACATCCGACAAGAAAAAGACCGTTGCGAACCTTTTTTTGGAGAGAGAACATGACGATAAAAAAAAATAAAAAAACGAAAGGAAAATACACCCTCATGCGTACGGGGAGAGGGGAATATAAAAAAAAGGTTCGTATAGAAAACAATCGACGATTACACGCGTCAGACAAAGGCATCGGGTTACGTCGCGGTATCGTTTTTCTCGCATTTTTGTGGAAACTTAACCGAGCGCGCTTAAGTACGTTACAACGATATCGCCATCATCCCATGTATAAGTAAGTATATATATATATATATTAGCTGAGTAGGTCACATTTCCCACGTCGGATTAATATGATTCGAACCAATTTGCCCGTAATTTTCAAATCAACCCCGCCACCGGGTCGGTACGGATCTCCAATACAAATAATATTATACGAATAAAAATAACCATGAAAACTGGATGAATATTGTTCTTGAACGCTGATACATCATGGACCATGGTGTATAATCCACCAATTCGTTTCAGTTCTTTCAAAACGTGTAACAGGTACTTTAAAAAAAAATATTTAAGCAAGATATGAGTACCTAGGTTTGTGAAATATATATCATAAACTAAAAATGAATAATGATATCACATATAATACAAAAATTAAGATATCAAAAACAAGCAAACTTATAAACACAAATAATGTTCTTAGCGTTAAGTTTAATAATAGGCTACTCTAATTTAAGCTTATAGGTACCCCACAATTCGTTCAACTGAACTCAAATTCGATATGTTTTACGTTTATGAGACGGAGACTACATACATTTCTGCTTAAAAACCACGCCATTTTCGGAGATGGGCCGTAGTCGACGACTCGCCCGTTGTAGGAAGCAACCCGTGCATTACGTGGTATAATATATACCTTATATACGTCCATATAATATATAGCTGACTATATATGAAATAACTAAAAGTCCATTCGTTCGCCAAGGTTTAAAATAAGAGACTCGCTAAAAGAAACCGAGTTAAAAAACCACAACGTGGACGGATTCCACGAACGGGTTCATCGATCTTTTGGGATTTATTTTTGAATAAAAGAGCGTAAAGGCGGTCTGGTATTTGACCTTCGCATGCGGCCAGCGGTTGTGCATTTCCCGCATTGTTCGGAAAACACGACATTTGCGATAGGCGGCTTTTGGCCGTTCGCTTGACACAAATACCACCGGACAGCAAACGAAGAAGAGAGAGAGAAAGAGAGAGAGAGAGAGGGAGAGAAAATTCACGCGTACGTTTGTCTCACGCGACTCTGCACCCGTGCACCGAAATAGATGGCCAAGGGTGGCGGGGAGGAACGAGTAAAAGGGGTCGAGGGGAGGGAGGTAGTGGTGGTAGTGGTGATGGTATATACCGGTATCGAGGTTATGGGCTTTCGTTACGTTTGCCAAAAAAGAAAAAAAAGAAAAACCCAACCAACAAATTGTTTTACGCTCAACCCTTGCGTATGTAATATGTGACGCACATGTATATACTATATGAGCATGCATCGACATATGCAGAGGTTTTATTCATATATAAATTGTTTTATTTTTATTTTTTTCCAATTCACTGACCTTGGGTATTGGCGTAGGTCGGCGTCGGCACCGTGAGCGGAGTGGTGACTGCCGAGTGCGGTGACAGGGTCTGAATGCCTAGTGACGTCATCGCAGCTGTGGTACCAGCCGTGTCCCTGTGTATCGGTGGCAAAGGTACGATGACAGACGGTGAGACGTGCTGTAAAAGGCAAAATAAAAATTGTTTTACCAACAATGCTAATTTTACTTAAATTTATAAATCTCAATGATGATTATGATACCGTTTATCGTTATAAATGGACATACCGTTTTAATATATACTTTCACAGAATACACAACTTTGATAAATATTACATTAATATTCTTCCCAGATAAATACAAATAGGTACCTATATATAATATGTACATGTGTGTGCTCGTTGGTGTACCTATATATATAAACACAGTAGTGTTATTTAAATCGTACTATTCATGGAGCGTGGAGCGTGTTTATATTTATATTATCTGCCTATATTTTATTCCATTAATGATGATGGTTTCTGTAATCTTAGATACATTCAAAATTTGTTGTATTCAAAAAGAGGATGATAAATTATATGTGTTGTTAACTTATTGTCACATTATGATTGTGCAGTTTTAACAATCCAACAATAGAGTATACCTATGATCATACGAGTAGGTTACCTATGGAATTTTCTCAGAACGAAATCTTTAACGGAAGTTGCAATAACCATACACCAGAACGAAATCGTTATTAATTATTATATAATATTACTGTATGATGAAGATAATATCAAATTTTTCATAGACACACACACTCGTTACGTCCGTTGCATATTACATAGGTACAACACTGACTTACTATATACTGACTAATATATTATATTATTATTAGGTATTAAACTGGCGCGTGTCAACTGCCAAGTGTGAGTACACATTTATGTAATAGGTGAAAATAAATAAATAATCATCATACAAATGGTTTTAGTAGTTCTTCCTTGTATAAAATTGGAATGTGTACCTATGTATAATTGAACAAAATTGTGTTATGCGCGAACATCGCCTGTACATATTATAATAATATAGTAGGCAGCAATCATGCGCAGATTCAATTTTTCGCATTTCAATCGGTTATAAGAGCTGAATGCGAATATCGTTAAGAGATTGTGCAATCGTTATTCCTTATTTTAACAACAATGGCCGGCAACGACGTTCGTGACATACGGCAGTATATACCTACACGATGCGGCGGCAAAACATACACACACACAGCATGTGCTCGGCATAATGATATCATTTGCATACGATTCACACGGGGACGGCCAGCGATGTCGACGGGAGGAGACTAGTGACAGAGAGAGAGAGAATTTTTTGCGGCAGCGGGGTATTGTAATAATAATTACGTTAAAATAGAACGCAAAAAAAAAAAAAATCTTTGGTGTTCGAATTTCGGGGGTGAATAATAATAATAATTATTATGCGCATATATACTTAGAGGAATTCAATTTTAAGTTATACATTCCCATAGATCCTGCAGAAAGGAAGAAAAAAAGTAACAACTAATAATTTTTCCTCTCATAAACATCACCTGCTCAACCAGGTATAATATTATGAATTATGATTTTAATGAGAGATGGTATTTGTGCGAAAAAAGGGGTAATGCTCTTTTCATCGCGGAGAAGACGCCACCAAGACAATTTGAATTTTACACTCCCGCGGGGAACTGAAATTCGTCGATGCGTGTTGGTATACTATAATACATATGATATTTATTATATTATGTTTTTTTAATTTTATTATTACTTTTAGCATTGTATACGTATGTATATATAGGTATATTTAAGCATATGAGTATATATTATTATGTAAGAGACAATAAACGCGCGGAGACTAAGTAGGAGTGCTGCATATACATTACACACACTATACTACTTGCGGTGCTGTGGAACAAGCGAAAACAGAAGAAAAAAAGAGAGTAATAACAAATCTTGAACCACGGGGTATATGCGAAGGAATAATAATAATAAAAAAAAAATTCGCCTATTATTACAAGGCGAATTTCGATTCCAAAACGCGGATGTACTTGAATAATTGTAGATTCTAATAAAAGATAGGCCGAGGTTATTATTCCTTTTTTTGGCGTGCAGAAATCGTATTATAATATATTTAGGTACATTCGCTAGGACCTCCCCGCACCCTCCCGTCGCTCTTTACACCACCACATGTCCTCATGTTGACGCGTTTTTGCCGAATTTGTTTATGCGATTTCGCAAATATTATACAGACTTGTGTCCGTTCGTTGGTCGTGGAGGGAGGAGGGTTGGAGTGTTGCACTGCTGATTTAAATTTCCGAATTGTAAACGTTGTTGTTGCGCGTGGTATAGTGTGTGTGTGTGAGGTTTTTATTTTTCGTTTCTCCTTTTAAATTTTATCCTTCCTCTCTTTAAGGTCATGTCCATTGTTCACGTAACCGATAATATATATACATAGGTATACACGTGTACATGTAACAGAAAAGCAGCAGAAGTAGCGCGCGCGTGTAGATCAAGGATTTTCGCGAAATTCGAATCGCAATTTTTACACGTATTGCGAAAATGTGAGATTTATACAAACACTCACGCACGCTCACTCTCGAGTTTATCACGTCGCTGTGACTGACGACGTTTTGATTTATACATAATATATATATTATAATGTTTTACGAATAGTTTGACTTTTTGAAAACAATAGCGGCTTTCGGAGAACACACTAATAATTTTTTTTCATTGTTTTTAATTAAAACATATTTTATAATAATAATACCGGGGGATCGATGACGATGACGGCCAAATCTATTGTTAGAGTTGCTGTAGCGCTCGATAAATCAGCTGATTCAAACATTATTATGACTTCAGTTGTCAACAAATATTTACCAAGAATATTAATCTTGTATATTACACCGCGGTATACTAAATAAAAACAGAATCTTACTAGTTCACCTATCCATATATTCCATATCCATAAAGAAAAAAATATAAATACCACAACACAGAAAGCTGTTGTTTGGAAATTCGAAAATTTAAATAATACAACACGTCGTCACATCGAGGAATATTTTGGCATTTTACGTAATGCACAAAGAGAAAAATTAATTTCGAAGTACTGACGTTTCTATCACCTGCTACAACTGCAGCTATGTTTGTAGTATGTGTGATAAATATTAAATCGTAGATATTATAAAATAATAAATGTACTATACCTATAAATGTCAGTTATGTTTACGCAAAGTGTTCACCTACCTAATACCTATACGTAATAATCTAATATTATACAAAATATTTTATAAAAAAATTGCATAACAAAATTGTTCGAAAGGGGATTTTTGATCTATATTCGTGCTACATAATATCATCGAATGTTGATGGTATATTGATACATATATCTACATCGATACATGGATATAATATATTCAGCGGTAGGTACCACGATAGGTCCCTCGATATATTATTATTATTATTATAACACATTTCTCAGGCGAGTGGTGCGTGGCCCATGCGAGTGGTTGAAACTTGTAGACGCCGCATCGCTACTTTGTGCGATCGTACGTACTAGGCATATTACAAGGTATACAGCTGTATTATAGAGTCATCCCGCTTTTGGCGGATCAGTGGCTGTCGAAACCGGTAAAAGTGTGAAATATATTGAGCTCGTTTATAAAACCAGAATAATTATAAATTATTTATAGGTAGGTCTAGGCATAGGTATTTAGATATTTTTTTCCAATACTATACTACGCACACAGGCGTAAACGTTGTGATATATAGTTATTTATTTTATTTCATTATTATTACCATAATATTTTTCCCCCAACCCAACCAAAGAAAATATAATTAGAAAGTGCGTGCGGCTATATTGATAGACGTCGAACTAACCACGCTAACGGCACTGGTTGGCGGTAGTTTTTGAATACTATACGTGTCTCGCGTCGGTAGTATTATTGGGCATACTTATATCATTATCATTGGCGAAAAACTTCAGGTCAAATGTCAATCTCCTGTCGGATATTCACCAACGTGGCTGCGATATAATAATATATAGTGGCAGACAACAGTTACTTGTATACCTATATCATAATATATTATACGATCATTGTACCTAATTTATGTACTTATGCGCCTACCACTTTATACACGTGACGGATCGTATAACATAATCGTTATCCTGCAAGCTTATCTAACGGAAAGCGATCGCGATGAACCGCATGTTTCGACTGAAAACGTTGACGATATTGCACGTAATGAAATCAATAATCATCGATTGATTACTCAAATCGTGAGGCTATGATATAGAGTATAGACGATTCTTATAGAAATTATTAAAGAATTTGTATTATATTTATATTTGAATTATAATATTGTAAATTGGCTTATGTACGAATTTAACATCGGCACGCGCCACAATACCGCAATAATAGGTATTAATAAAAAAGCGACTATGACTGTTTATATTGTTTATCGGATTTTTGTGAGTTTTTCGTACGCATTTAAGAATATGTTTCTAGTAGGTACAGGAAGCGTTTAAGACTTTAAAGAGTTGTATATTCGTGTAGGTATGACGTATACATTAATTATATATTGACTGGGTCGGCTGTACGAAAATATCGCTGTACGAAAATATCGCCGTACGAAAAGCGTATGTAACCTTAATACATCCTCTGCTCTGGTAATATATACGAGATGCTCGCTAAAAAAATAAAAACAACGCAAATTAGAAACAATATAAACGCCCGTAAATGATGGTTTAAATCGCGCATTGTTTCAGACGCATATAATTTGCTAATTTAAATCGTTTCGACGGGGTATCCATAAATACATAACATACAACGTTTAATGTTCTGTTTAAAAGATAAACCTACGAAACACGTGTAGTTTTTTTCAGTATACCTACGTACCTATACCAACGCGGTAGATCCGACGCTTTGGTCAGCCGGCCGGAACGAGATTGGTATGTACATAAAATGTGTACGTATATATAATATATATATATATATATATTATGAGCACATCATTAATTGTCCAGTATATGCATAGATACACGAATAAGCGATAATGTTGTATCGGACAAGAACACGCGATAGTTATCGCTGCAATAATTAAAAGCAGGTTAAACGAATATAATATTATAATATTATGTAAAGAGGGGAAATGAAATCACAACGATATTTCGATTCCGTTCCGGTTTTGATAGTATACACACGCACGTACACATCACGATAGCAATCTGAGTATAGGTATAGAGATATAGGTATGTATTTTATTTTTGAAACAAAACCTCTTGCTCTTCCCCCACCCAAATACCTACCAAAGTAGGGAGGAATCCTATTATACCCTCAAGCCGGAAAAATTATTATTATATACTTTCTGATATTCATGACAGTAAATCTTAAGCCATGACAAGGGTAATCCAGCTATATTTGTGTGTGTAAGTGTTATTGGTGTAGATGATACAAGAAATCTTAAGAAGAATTTTGCGCGGGCACTCACTTATACACAATATACTACAGTACTCGTATATACGAACGAAAACGGATTTCCTGTGTAGGTATAACATACGTGCGGGCCAAGCGTGGGCGGAAAATAATTCCCAATTTTTCATTCATCTGTACGGAATGTACGTTCTCGTGTTATTCGCGACATAGCTGAGTCCTATTATATCTATGTATGTTTTATATTTTGCAATAGTAGTACATAATATTATCAGACTTAAGTTTAGTCTGAAATCATTGCAGAAAATATCAGAAGACAAAAAATGTCCGTGCAAATGCCCTTCGGAAACGCTAAAAATCTTATTGTCCATTAGACAGTATATAGGAATATTACCTACGTATAATTTGTGGTTTTATTATTATTATTATTCTTATATTATTTATTTAGCTTTTTTTTTTGTTCACTTCGTATTATACACTTTTTTTATTATTCCACGGGTTGTATTCGTCGCTGTACTCCCGTTCACCGCAACCGCCGTTGCCACCGTTGCCGTCTCGGCTGCTTATAAACCCCGCCCGCCTTAGATCTCGAAGATTTGCATCATTATTCGCGAAAAAATTATTCCGAAATAAATTTACGCTCGCCATGACCCTCGTGCTGGTTATATGTGCGTATTCGTATATTTCGCACGTAAATAATATTCATCGTTGTGTAATAATGGATCGGTGGACTAGTATATTATATTTTGTGTTATTCAGTCGACGACGGATCGCTGTGATAATTTTATGGGCGATAAATTGAAATTTCACGAGAAAAATCGTGATGGAAGTCAAGTGGAATACGGCAAAAAAAACCAACTATAAGACAAACATTTTCCATATTTGTCCACACATATTATAATGTCGTATAATATGTGTGCTTATTATTATTGATCAGGAGTTATACACGGACGATGACGGCGACGACGACGACGACAACGACGATATATTTTATTTTGTTTCTGATTATTATACGAGCGTACGCGTGGCAGAGAAATGTAGTCGACAACGACTATAATATTTAATAAACCGTCACGGCGAGATTTATATCACATAGGTCCATAGGTGATTATATTATGATGTACGCATGTATATACGACGAAAACCATAAGCATTAGTATATCGACTTCCACATAATATATATACAATAATGTATACTTACGTCGTATGTAGACAGACATGCGTACTAAATAACCGATCAAATATTCGCAATTACGCGACAGAGTAATAATATAATTACCCACTGTGTTTCCATCGTACTTTATCATAACTTATGCGCGTGTTTCTCCGAGAATAATAGGTAAATCTTCATTCGATTAGCCGTACCGAGGGTGCATGCAATAACTAATAACTTTAATACCAATGATTATTATTATTAATTTATTTTCGTCGTCTTCGTTATAATACAATATGTATGCATCGTACGGTCGATGATTAGCAAATCGGTAAAAATCGTCGTTAAATCGATGGCGATTAAATTTCTAATAATTTTCGTACAATATATTATATAGGTATCTCTGGGTGCAAACATTTGTGTGTGTGTGTTTGTGTTTAAATAAAATGGGCACCGATGATGATGCGATCGACCTAAACACACGTCATTTTACATTATTATTATTATTATATATTGTCGATTCCAAACTCATATAACCGTATGCGTATACGGTATACTTATACGTATATATTATACGCGAGCGCAAAGTACCGCATTAATATTCACGCATGGTTGTAGGCTAACCTATACAACAATCACACTATTTTTTAATATTTAATTTTTAATTTTTCTTTTTTTTCATACACATTTATATTCACAAACATAAAAATATGTACGACACACCCATTATTCTCCGTTGGCTTTCTAGACCCGATTTGCACACAATACCGAAACGTTTAATGGCTCTCGTCGTACTAAATATATATATAATAATAAAAATAATAATACTGTCTTATACAGAAATATATATATATATATAAATATACGCCTTGTCTAATGTTGGCCGATCCTTAAGAGCGAGCACACTCATTTTTTCTGTATATTCTTCGGTCTTGTATTATAAATAATAATGTTCTACACTGGCACATATTATCGAATTCCCGAGGCAAAACCGTCATCGTTACATCGCATCGGTGGGGTAATTATATGATAATTACATCGTAATTATTTTGTGACTGTTTTTTTCCGTCGAACCTCTTTAGCGCGTATTCTCCGACATCCCGACAGATTTTTGAAGTTCCTCAGTCGGGCTGCATGACGCGCCTCGCATTGCATACAATACAATATATTGTTTTTATTGTCGTTATAACTTATAGTGTACTAACTACTAGATATATAAATAATTATGTGTTAAAGTCGTTACTGTATAGGTATGGCCCGGTAAACACGTATTGTTATACATAATATATAAGATCAATAAACTCTTTGGTGTATCACGCATACACGTATATACTCGCACAACACACGTATATATTGAATTTGTGGTAAACTCGAGTAGAATATTTTTAAGTTTATCCAAGGATAGTACACCGCGTATTAAATATGTCGAGCTAATGTGCTTATGAACTTGCGGCAACGACCTTATAGTGGGTGTTGAGGGAGCAGCGAGGAAAGGGATGGTGGCGAATTGTTGTCTTCAACTCGAACATGAGCTCGCGATTTAATGATATTGTACAGTGGCGTACAGAGGTATGAAAACCGTTTTTAACAACATGGTTGAAGCGCTGCAACTTCATTTCTTTATTGTGGATATACTTGTGCATTTATTATACGCGATTGTGTGTGTGTAAGTGTGCGCAAGAGACACACATTTTTGTGAAAAATTACATATGGTGGCGTAGGTACCTATAAATGTACAGTGAACGATAATACGTAAACTAAGAAAGTTGATGAGAAAAAAAACAAAAAGCTGTCGATTGATGAGATAATACTTTTTGAAGCTTGGAAACAAAGATCAGAATTTCTCGATGTATATAAAATATATAATACATATACACGAGCTTATATGGGAAATGTACATACACATATACAAATTATATAGACTTAAATCTATAATGCAATAATAGAAAACACAAACAAATGGCATCACTGCGCATTATATCGTCCAATATATTCTGCGTGTGGTGGAATGAAATACGCGTATGGGATATGCACACAACCAAGACTTGGGACGAAATAATTGTTTTGATTTATCTATTTATATTTACACATTTATTCTCAATATTATATTACACGGTGTGGGAACTCTGGGAAGGCGTACTGCGTATAACGCTCAACCGAACGAAATATCATTGTACATTGTATGTTGCCAAATAATTACCTTTTGCGTTGGCGAAGATGGAGCTGAATTCGCTGGGCTGGACCTGGGACTGGCAGACGAGATACTAGCCGGTTTGTGGTGTTGAGCAGCAAGCAATGGCAGACCCAGGGCCGGATACAGACCCACGCCTCTGGCAGCCAACGATTCCAATATACGACCTGCAGTAAAGTAAAATGTTGTTAAAATTGAAAATCTATTAATACATCGTTATCATACAAAAACATCATCAGGTATCGGCGATATCGCTCAAGTCGAATAGTAAACGTATGTTTTATATTTTTGAGAGCGCGTGTCGTACGCGTTCGGGAGCGTTAACACAAATACCCTCGAAGAGACTACACATATTATATAGATATACATAATATAATAATAATACTGTTGCTGCAGCCGTGTGTGAGTATAAACGTAGAGGTATACATGCATATTTACATAATCAACGCATTAGTCATTGTGTCACAGACGGACGTGAAATAAGGTAAACACGAAACCGGAGCAAAAAATAAAGGAGGTGAAAAATCGTGCTCTCTATCGCTCGGCGATACTATGTAAGTATAGAAACCGACGACTACGACACGCCTTTGGGGCAATTTTTGTGAACCTGTCAGTTGGCGTAAGATAAGCATTTTATATACACATACATTTAATATTTTTTATTTCATATTTGTATCGGCGTTGTGGAACGCCACGGGCGTCAGTAGCACACACTGGCATGTTTATTATGCGTAATGAAAATGTGGTTCACATATTATTACAATATAATAATAATCATAATAATAATGTAATATATTTATGTGAGTATTATACATATATAATATTATTATTCGTTTTTATTATTTATCGTCTTTGAATAACACACACGTTTATCATTTTTATTCTCTTTCTTTTGGCGTAAATCGTGAAGTGAATATATTTTTCCACGAGAAATCGTGCGAGAAGTCACAAAAAAAATCCACCTTCGAAAATCCCCGGAGTGTCTGTTTGACGTATCTAGAACGACGAACGTGACGAAGACGCGACGCTACTGCTGTAGCTGTCGGACGCTAGTAAATAGTAATACGCAAATAATACGATATACAGGTAGTTGACTCTAGAGATTACTGAGATAACAGTATAGCTCACCTATAAAGTTATCGTTCAATATCAAAAATTTTAAGCACGCACATATTCAATTGTATGGCCATGTTGTTAACACGCCGCAATAGAATTCCTATAGCCCTTAGGTATACTGTAATAAATAATAATACGTTATACATCTATCAAGTGCAAACTACAATTTTCCGTTCGAAAATAAAAAACTATCATGATAAATTATGATAGGCTATAACCATATATATTAGCATAGGTAATTTCCATCAAAACGGCACTATAGAATTCTACATTTTTTTCGGCATCACTTTGTCTCCAGACTTCGTCAATGACGGTCATGACCCATGGGTCATCGTTAGACGCTTTCGTGATACTCACCGGTGTGAATTCGTTTTTCTTTTGAACCAATACAACCTATTTTATTGGTTATGTGTGTCTACATGTTAATTTATAGTATTTCGTGAAAATTATAATGATTTGTATTCGAAATATTGTTTACCACAAATTCCTGAAAATTTGTTATGTCGTTTACCGTGTTGTTTGACCAGTCGTTATTTCTCGATTGCGAGTTTATATATACGTATACAATTATATAGGTGTACATATATAGCGTTTTATGTAAATACGCCCATTATCGTCGTCAAGTAACCGTCGTTTAGTCAGTATAACGCGTTAATCTCGTCGACAAGGATCACGGTCTGTAATCGCCAGGTTAATGTTTTTATTTTCGACGGTTTTTTTAAAAATAATACTGTTAGTATATATATATTGCTCCCGAAATTGCTATATCGCGTGAGAAGTCGCAAACAGGGGCCCCGGATACGCATTTACATGTTAAATTAAAAAGTAGTTTCCACTACTGGAATATTTCACATTTGACTAATTTATAGGTTTTATTTTATTTTTTTTATTTTTATTTTTTTACTTGCCCATTTAATGTATAGGAACCATTAGTTTCCCCCAATAAAACAATAACGAAATGATAATAAAATAACGTTTGCATAAAAAAATATACTCTATATTATATTATTTACGTACAATAGTTGATATATTTTAGATATGATATAATAATATCTATATTGTGTATACAATAAACGCCTCTACATAATAATATAATACCTAATATTATAACATTATATTGCTCTCGTGATCTGCATTTTGCCCCGCTGCAGCGGTTCGCGTGGACGGGTTCAATCCGTTTCCCATTGTGACCCAGGGACCCGTAAAAGTGGAGCACAATGCGTTGGTAATGTGACACCCGGAAGGATAAAAAAAAAAAACGATGAAAAAATTTCGAGTGTTTCGGTTATTTCGTTCCCGTCATTACCGTCTTAATCCGCGAGCGTGTATGCGTGCGTGCCTATGCGCTGGGGGTTCGTGCTGTAGCGTCCGAAAAAAAACCCTCGACCCCTATGTCACACTTGTCACCCCCCATATCGTATATTATATATTTTTTCGACCGAATATTTTTGCACGAGGGTTTCCGTAAAACGGGTAAATATTATTTGCGGTGGAAACTGTTAATAACCGTACACACGCACACTAGTACACACTAACGCCGTATACCAAGCACTGTAGCAGTCCCCTTCGGCAGTTTGATATCCTCATTATTATATTATATATATATATATATATTTATATTTGTGCGAAGCGTAGACACATGGGGAGATCAATTGAACAGGTTAAAAGCTATATAAACGAGAGGTTTTTTTCGCTCCGCATAATATCCTGGGACCGGGATAATTTTTTTACGTTTTTTAAAGGGGACTAATGGATGACATCCTATTTTGTTCCCACCGTGCTTGGGCGTTTAACCAGGAATATGATTTTGCAAAAAACACAGTCAGCAGCTGACAAGATAGGTAGGTATAGGATATAGGTTGTTGTACGTACGTGGCTCGCCGCCTATTGTCGACAACTCGGCAGGATACTTTTGCATTTATATTATACGATTTGACAATAAAAAAATAATAATAATAAAAAGAGAAGGCTTCGATGATAGAGTTAGATTGCGTGTGAATAGCGAAGATCGTTTTATTTTATACGTTTTTTTCTGAAGTCCTCGACGACACACGTAAGTAACAAAAAGATTAACGGCCTATATGGCGGAGACCCCAAAGTTCTTTCCCCGAAAATATGGTACAAGAAAAAAGTTTTTTTCCCTCTGTTTTATTCGTTCACCGAGCAATAAAATATGCCACCAGTATTTTTGTTAGTGATTTGTGAAAATAATATGGATAGCCGCTAGAACTAGATATGTTTCAAGTATTCATTCACATATACCTACAACCTACACAAATATATAACATTATATTATACGAATAATACGTGGATAGCTGTTGAAAGATATCACCTATAATTTACCGGTAAAATTATTCTTATATTATATACTGCTAGTTATACATGTGTATCATTGTTGGTAAATTATTCATGAATTTTTGGTCATTTTCAGACGGGTTGTTTATTTAAGTATTTAACTATCCGAAAAATTATGCATAATGCTATATAGAGTACATCCGCTCTACAGTTGTAATGATTAATTTCTACGAATTTTAATGAATACGTTTTGTTAATACACACATATACACTGTAGCGGTATGAAATATTAATGAATATAATAGTTCATTATTTCCGGGCAACTGTCTAGAATTATTTTTTTTTCGTCGGAAAAATGGAGATCGTCACAAGTGACTGGCTCTATGCTGGTTTTTAGACGAATTGAAATTTAACAAATCCCAATGAGAAAAAAAAAATTAAAATGTCAGTGATATTAAGATGTTTTTTACCGCATTTGACTTTAGATGCATCCATCCATCGGACTAGTTAACAACTCCACTATACAACAATAGACTGAACATTTTCCACATGAGTAACTCATACGCGTAGGGAAGTAGTTCTTTTACCAAAAACAATGTATACAGTCCATCGAACCATACTTTTAAACCCGTAAATATCCGAGAAAGTATTTTCTCGAAACGTTAATTTCAAGTGGTTTGACTCAAACTGTATATTATAAGTGCACTTTTCTTCGTATATTATAATATACATATTGTTTACGTATAGTGGCACACGTTTAATAAGTATAGGAGAGTGTATTATACCACTTTATGTGCGCTACAATGTCGTTTTTGTATAATATTCTTGAATAATGTGATATTATTAAAAATACAAATACAAATTACATCTAAATATCTAATAAATGATGATTGAGCTGCAACTATGATAATAATTTACGAATTTACGACGTAATTGAGTTATGTGTTTTTATAATTCAATTCATTAGAATTATATTTACATTCTATCATCGTATTCAAATATTACAATGAACTCGCACACACCAAAAAAAATCGAACAAAGTATTTTTATAAAAACTAAATTACTTGTGTATACTTATTTTCATGGTTAATGTATTATATTATATTTAAACACGGACGTAGTGCATGATGCAATGTGTTTGGCCACTTGACGAACAGTAGAATTCATTGAACACACAAATCTGGTGTGTTTCTACAATGTGTTATCCTATATAAGGCGTATGTATGTGTGCGTGTTTAAGTATTATTTCTTCTTAAAAAAAAATGTGGAAAGAAAAAAATGAAAAAAGTTGTATTATGAACGTGCTCTCGGTAATATGAAATGGAAGTAAAAAACGTGGCTTACACTCGTCAACAAACGCCGTATTTGGTAAATCAAAACAGTTATGTTCATATTGATCGAAGTGACGTAAGCGTTTTTTGGTAAGCCTCTTTGGTCCGCGGATCCATCGTGACATCATTGTTTATCGACTTAAATAATAATAACTACGCCTTATCCTCTCCGATACCACTACTACATAATATATTATATTTAAATATGCAGTATATTATTACAATATTATATTTTTGTTCTGCAGCGCATTCAATTCTAGTGGCACGAGCAGTTTTTACAAGTTATGATTACTTCTTCAGCACTAGTTGTTCTATTATTATAGGTTAGCATTTGTAACTATACATTATATAGTGCATTATTATAATATTTTGAATCTGAATAGATATTTTACTTTTCAGTTAATGTTAGGTAGCTAGGCATTTCC